CACCCCCAGCTCTCCCAGCCTGTCCCCAGAGCAGAGGGGCTCCAGCCCTTGGAGCATCTCCGTGGCCCTTTGGGCATGATCTCTCTTTGGTGACTTGGATTTATGATTTTTGTTTTGCCAGCACTGTGGGTGTTCTAAGTCAGCAGATCTGTCTGCAAGTATGAATGGGGCAGTTGGTGTCCAGAATATTCTCACAGAATCTCCATCTCACCTGTGGCAGCTCCTGGCCAATGCCCAGAGGCAGGAAACACATTCCCAGGTGCCCCAAAATGCTTCTGACCCTTCCCTGGGCTCCTGGGTCACCTCTACAGCTGCTGGGGTGCCCTTGGATGAGCCCTGGGGCTTCTGAGCCGTGTCCTTCCCACCTCAGCTTCCCTCTCTTCTTCCCCTTCCCCTTCCTGTCCCTCCACTCGTGTCCAGCCTGGCTGCTCGTGCTCCCAGGGCCAGGATGTGTGACCATGGTTGGGTGACACCATGTCCTGAGGCTTTGTGCTCTGGGTGGAGCAAACCCTGCTGATGGCTGATGGCAGCTTTTCCAGACACACCTGCCCATGGCCTAACACAGGGATATTGCAGCGCTGGCTGAGGGCATTTGCTGCCAAATTGTAGATCCTTAGGAATACGAAGGGAGGGAAGAGTAGGCTGGCAGGGAATGTAGGACAGATGCCAGACATTGAAAGAGGGCAGTCTGCTTTTTCCTGGCTTCATCCCAGAAATCCCTGAATTCCTAAAACACCTGCAGGTGTTGAAAATAGGGAGATGTCTGCTGGCACCTTTCAAGCCATTGGCTGCAGCCTAGGGAAGGTGCAAGACTATTTTCCAGGAGACATCAGACAGAGCTGGCATGGGCCCCTTTAGAGGTGCTTCCAGAACCCTGGGATGATTTTGCTGCTTTGGTGGGAGAGTGGAACCTCAGTTCACCTTGGCAACCCCAGGAACTGCCTGGAGGGTACAAGAGACCTTCTGGGTTTCCCCAGAGGTTATAGAATCCCAGAATCCCAGACTGGTTTGGGTGGGAGGGACCTCAAAGCCCACCCAGTGCCACCCCTGCCATGGCAGGGACACCTCCCACTGTCCCAGGCTGCTCCAAGCCCAATGTCCAACCTGGCCTGGGGCACTCCCAGGGATCCAGGGGCAGCCACAGCTGCTCTGGGCACCCTGTGCCAGGGTCTGCCCACCCTCCCAGGGAGGAATTTCTTCCTGAAAAACAAGGGTTGGTTTGCTGTGATCCCATTTGGGGTCTCAAAGGGGCCAAGGAGGGGTTGGGGACCTGGCCATGCTCTGGATGAGTGGCTCATCCTCTGCAGTCACTGAGAGCACTCAGGGGTTTGGCTCCTCTCCAGGGTCTCTGCCGTGGTGGTGGCACCATAGGGTGCAGCAGCTTGTGCCAGGGGTTTGTCCTTGTCTAGGGGATGTGTGACCCTCACCCTCAGCCTATGCCCCCTGTGCCACTCACTGTCTCCTCTCCCTCCTTCCTTGGGAAGATTGGGCAAGGATTCACTTTTATTTTTCAGGTATTTTGGCACAGAATGCCAGAATGGGTGAGGTTGGAAGGACCATGGTGGCTCATCTGGTCCCATCTCCCTGCTCAAGCACAGGGCACAGAACTGTGTCCAGACTGTTTTGGCATAACTTAAGAGAATATCTGGATGTTCTTGAATATCTGGAGGGACATTCGAGGGAGGAAGACTCAACAGCCTGGGGAAAATTTCCCTGGACTTCTAGGCACCCTATCTTGCTCCAGATCTCACTGAGCATCCTCTCCAGGTGTATTCTGGCCTGGGAATGCTGCTCAGTGGGGTGGTGGCAGCACCAAGGGCTCTGTGAGAGGTCAGGGTGATCCAGGGTGACCCAGGACCCCCAAAGCCCATCCTGAGTGGGGCAGGGTGGGTGTGAGGGTCTGGATTCCCATGCCTTGGCTTCCCCTCTGCCTCTCGGGTTCCTCATGGGGATTGTGGTGCTGCAGTCCTTGTCCTTCCAGCCCAAAGGAACCACTTTTCCAAGGATGTCCAAGGCTGCTGATCCTGCTCATGTCTTCTCCCCAACCCTTGGGGAGCTTTAAAACCACCCGTGACAGCAAAATTACTCAAAGGAGCGTTTCTGCCTCCTGCCTCGCCGGGGTTTGCAGGGATTGCAGATGAATTGCTTTGGAAAAACACATTAGCAAAGCAAAAGTTTATTCTAGGAAGTAGGAGGTGGGAGAATTGGCAGTAATTCTCCCTAGTATCCAAGGTATTATTAGAGGCTTATCCCTGCTCTGCACAGTAATCACATTGGAAATTTTTGATTAGAAAACAAAATCTAAATGAGAATTATGAATATTCATTAGGTGTGGAGATTAATATGCATAATTATGCAAATTAGACAGCAATTAAACACCAATTCTCTGGGGAAATGATTAACACAAAGGCACAGAAATAGAAGGATGTAATTTGAAAGAAGTTTCTGGTTAAATGAACAGTGAGGGGAGCGGAGGAGACAAATCTGAGGCATGTTTGCCATAATAATCAGCTTTGCCAAGCGAAATGGGAGTGAGCCCTGCCCCCCTGCCCCCATGTCTTTGCTGCCACTCAGCTCCCTGCTCCCAAAAGGGCGTCCTGGGGCACCTGGAGGTGCCATCCCTTTGGCAGAGCCAGCACAGGACAGGTCCCCAGAGAGCCACAGGGCAATGCTGCTGGGGGAGCCTGGTGTCATCCATGGCCAGTGTGGCTGTGACTCCCGGTGGGGGGCAGGAGGTGTCCATGGCTTGGGAAGTGCCCATGGCTGGTGCCACCCTCACTCTCAGCCTTCTGCAGATCTGGGATTTCTCCCTGTCCAACCCAGCAGAGTTCACAGTGTTTGTGCAGCACCTCCAAAGATGATGGATGTCCCCACCCTGCCCAGCCCCTCTCAAATCCCTGGATTTGCCCCCTTTGAACACCAACTGCTGTTCACCAGCCCCTGCTCACCCACTGGAGCAGGAGATGGAGCAGCACAGTTGGAGATCCTGCAGCTGAGTCAGGCCGAGGCTGTTTTCCAGGGAAGGTTCCTTCCCTGTGGTTGTGGTATCAGCTGGAACTGTGGGAGCTGTGCTGATGCAACATCCCGAAGTTTTTGTGTCATGATGGACATTCCCAGCTCACTGAAGGGGCTCCAGGAGAGCTGGAGAGGGACTGGGGACAAGGGATGGAGGGACAGGACACAGGGAATGGCTTCCACTGCCAGAGGGCAGGGCTGGATGGGATATTGGGNGGAGAGCTGGAGAGGGACTGGGGACAAGGGATGGAGGGACAGGACACAGGGAATGGCTTCCACTGCCAGAGGGCAGGGCTGGATGGGATATTGGGAAGGAATTGTTCCCTGGCAGGGTGGGCAGGCCCTGGCACAGGGTGCCCAGAGCAGCTGTGGCTGCCCCTGGATCCCTGGCAGTGTCCCAGGCCAGGTTGGACATCAGGGCTTGGAGTGACTTGGGATGGAGGGAGGTGTCCCTGCCATGGCAGGGCTGGGATGAGCTGAGTAAGGGCCCTTCCAGTCCAAACCATTCTGGGATTCTCTGCCTCCCCTGGTGCCTCATGCAGCCCAGGAGGTGCTGCCTGCAGGGACTTGGCAGGGGATGAAAGGAGCTGATTTCCCACTGCAGCCTGTGCAGAAACATTGCAAAACCTTCTGCCTGCTCCTCTGCTGCTTTGGGTTAGAACCCTTTTTGCCGAGGATGTTCTTGGGAGGACTAAAGCTGAGAAGGCTGGGGGTGTGCTCTGATGGCCCCACTTCCTCAGGGGAACCTTGGGGGGCTGAAAAACACCCCTGGACATGTGACTCAGTAATGCTGCAATTCCCACGTGAGGATTTCGCCTCTGAGAACTCTTTCACTCTGCTCAGGTTGGACAGAGTCTGGCCCATGATCTTGCAGCGCCATGGGCAAAATTCAAGTCCTGCTGGAGCATCCAAATGGATACAATGTGGTTTTGATTTAGAGTTCAGTCCCTCTCACCATCATTCTCTGGGGGAAGGAGGTTCGTGGGTGCTCTCTGGAATAAAGGAGTTAAAATACTTGTTTCTCCTCTTCCCACTGTCCCATGTTTTGAACCATTTCCAAGCTGTGGTGGGATTTGCTTTGAAGTTTGTGGAGTAACTCCCAGCGGGAGTGGGAAGGTGAGGAGGCAGAGGGGAGGCTCAGTCACGCCAAGTGGAAGTGGTTTATTAATGAAAATATTGTTTTGTTTGTAGAAGGAAGAGTTAATTTTACGAGAACACCTTTGAGGCTTTGCTGATAAAGCAAAGAGTAACCTTTGTTCTTCCTGTTTTTCGGTAGGCTTGGATGAAAGACCAGGATCAGGTTCCTGGGGAACGGCAGATCAAAACAGCTCCACGTTTGACCAGGGAAGGGTAAGGACAAAGCACAAACACCAAACTGCAACCAAAACAAACGGGGTCCTTTCAGAGCCTTGGGTCTAACCCTGCAACACCTTTTCTTGCCCCATTTTGGACATGGGTTCTGTGAACTCTCTAGGGTTTCCCCATCCCCATCTCCCCAGGCTTTGCTGCCTTGAGGTCTCCTTGAGGTTTCTCCTCCAAAAACCTCTCCCAGACCTGCAGTAGGATGGGCTCCTGTGGCTGCTCAGGCATCTCCCTCCTTGCACCCAGTGTTTGTGTGGGAAGGGACAGGTCCTCAAAGGAGACACACATGGGTGGGTCGAGGGATCTGAGTGGGTTGAGGGATCTCATCTGATGGCAAAGCTTCCTGAGCACCCACCCCACAAGACTTTGGGAACCTGAGGAGGGAATCCCTGCAGTCCACCACATTGTCTGGCCATGGCACCCTTGGTGGGGATGGGGATCTTGGGTAGGGTTTTGCAGGGAAGGAGTTGAGACTGCAACACCTCATGACTGGGACCTGAGTATGGGAAGAGAGAAATGCCCCAAACTTCGTGGAAATGGTGTCACTTTTGTTTTAATGGGTTTATGTGATTTGTTTTTGCAACGGCACCTTTCCCTCCCCTCCACTCAGCAGCAGAGCTGGGGCTGTGGTGTCAACTCTCATTTATATATTTAGAATTTATATAAATATATCTAAAAATATGCATTTACATTTATCCAGCCTTTTCCTTGCCCCTTCACTCCCTTGGTTCAGGGAGGGGCTGCCTGGCTCTTACCTGGTGGGTGCCAAACTGTCCAAGAGCTGTCAGCATGGAGCAAAGCATGGTTCCATGTCCCCAGCTGCCATGTCTCCTCCCAACACCACGGCCTCTGCACTGCCTTGGCATGAGGATAAAATCCTTTCCATGCCCCTTTCACAAGGAGCCTTCGGCTTTGTCCCTTCCTGGGGGAGGTTGGGCCCTGGCAGCCTTGTGTTTGGAGATGGGGCTCAGGTGTGACTGTCCCTGTTGTCCCAGCAGAGCTATGGTGAAGGGCCCCACTACGGTGAGCACCGGGACCTGCCATCCCACAACAGCATCTCCTCGTCACCATTCCTGGGAGCTGGACTCGTGGGTGAGTGCCTGCAGCTGCCTGCCAGGTCCCCAGGGCAGGGGACACGTGCCACTGTGGTGGGGGAAAGCATTGGGACAGCGTTGCTGTTCCCTGTGCTGGACCTGCTCCAGGTGTTCTCCAAGCTGTGGTCCAGGGGGGTGGTACCCAGAGGGTTCCACCAGTGCCAGCTGTGCCAGCTGTTTTATGTGTGTGGTTATTTTTCCCTGCTTTATGGTAGCACCCTGAGGCAGTAGCATCCCACCAGGATGGTCTGAGTGTGCTCCTGGGAGCTGGGAATTAGGGGTGGGAGAGATATTAATTGTTAAGGATTTATTAAGGACTTGGGAAGACCCTGCTTGAGTGGGGAGGTGGCACCAGATGATCCCACCATGGTCACTTCCAACCAGACCCACTGGGTGACTGTGACTTGCAAGGGCCTGCTGGCTGTGTCACTTCCCAGAGAGCTGGGGGTGCTCCCTTTGCTGCAGTGAGGTTTGGAGGGGCCTCCTCCCCCTGTCCTGCCAGGCTCCAGCAGCCTTGTCTGGCCCCTGCGTCCCCAGCTCCAGGCAGGCAGTGTGAGGAGCTCACAGGGGTGGTGATCCTGTGACCATTCACACAGCCACCTCTCCCAGCTCGGGGGTGGGAGGAGAGATTAAGAGCAGAAAATATCCCTCCTGTAGGGCTTAGAGACCTCTAATGGCATTAGGTCAGGAATTGGGGTTATCCTCCCCATCTTTGCCCACGCAGTGGTTGTTAAAATGCTCCAGCACATGTGGAAGGAGTGGGGCTGGGGCAGGGCTTGCTCATGGTTGGAAGGGAGGGGTAAGAAAAGGGAATCATGTTTGAAATACAAAATCCCCCAACACAAAATCCCCCCTGTGGGTGTGGTGGCAAAGGGGAGGAGCAGAGCAGGGTGATTCCGGGACAGGAGCAGCCACACGTTGGCCCTTCCTGGCCTGGCTCAGGGTTGGGGCTCGCTGTGAGCTCTGCTCCCCCTCTTCACCCCTTGTGCTGTTGGGGATGAGGTTTGGGTGTCCCTTGGAGATCCTGTGCAGAGGGGGAGCCTTTCTGAGCAGCTTCCCCTGTCCTTCTGCAAGGAGGATCTTCCTCCTCCCTGTGTGGCCCAGGACAATGTGAGTGGAGCACAGAGAAGTTTTTGAGCAGGACAGGGGGGCCTTGCTGCAGCTCCGGGGCTTGGGGGGGACGTGCGTGGGGGGACCCGTCCCAGCCCATCCCACACCTGGGGCCAAGGCAGCCTGCAGAGTTTCCAGCTGAGAAGGAGCTGCCTGGGGAGGAACACAGAGGTTTTCCCTTTGATGTGTGTGGGGAAGACGCCTTTGGCTCCCTCTCAAAGCCGGGGCTCCGGGTCCTTGGCAGCCACCACGGCTCTCCCTGCAAGCCCAGCCAGTCCCTGGCACGTGAGGTGATTTCCAGGGGCTCTGGGGCTGAGGTGAGCACTGGCCCTGTGGCCAGCAGGACTGTGGCCACACTCTGGCCCCCAGCTCGAGGGGCTTTGTCTGCCCAGGTGGATCAGGGGCAGCACCACTGAAATAGGAAACAAGCAGGGGGGAAAGGGTTCCTCATATAACCGAGTCCCTTTTGTTCCTATAAATTGAATGTGGTTAAAGTAGAAAGATTCTGGGAGCAGGTTCCAAAATGCATAAATCAGTTTTCATTGTAGAACCAAAGAATCATGGAGGGCTTTGGGTGGGAAAGGACCTCAAGGCCCATCCAGTGCCACCCCTGCCATGGCCAGGGACACCTTCCACCACCCCAGGCTGCTCCAATCCCAATGTCCAACCTGGCCTTGGACACTTCCAGGGATCCAGGGGCAGCCACAGCTGCTCTGGGCACCCTGTGCCAGGGCCTGCCCACCCTTACAGCCAACAATTTATTCCCAGTATCCCATCTAAACCTACGTCTTCATGCATGTGCTTGGAAGGAAGGATATGGGGAAGAGCAGGGATGGGATTTTCTTTTCCTCTTTTCCAAGCTGCTTCTGAAAACTTTTAGAGTGGCAAAATGCAAAGGAATAAGGGAGAGGAAAGGCAGGAAAATAAAATAATGCTTCTGTAAAAGCAGAGGAAAAATGGGAGGGAAAGGGGAGTTTCGGAAATGTGTCCCCTTGTGTGCCAGGCCCTGCTTTCCAGCAAGGTGCCCCTCAGAGTGGGAAGTTCATGTTAATGGGGTGGTTGAGTGGAACCAGGAAATTTAAAATCTGAGGAGGTGGAGGGAGCAGATGGGGATGAACATGTTGTGGTAGTTGATGGATGAAAGCTGTGTGAAACATCTAAGCCCTTCTCCAAGATCAGAATTTTTATCTCTTTCCCACTCGACCTCTATTTCTTCAAGGAGGATCGGGAACTGTGGGAAGAACCATTTTGGGAGCAGCATGGATGCTCTGTGTTGGCAGTGGTGGGTTGGGTCAGTAGAGAGGGAGGCTGAGCTGAAAAGGGCCCTCCAAAGTCAGCACTGAGGCTCTGAGCAGTCAGGGTGGTGATGGCTCCTCCTGGGACCCCCATCCTTTGGATTTTGTGTTTCTGGAGTCCATGCATGTCCCAGGGCCAGGCTGCAGCCTCCTATGCTCTGAGGATGGGCTTTAGGGACAGGGAGCACCTTCCCACAGCAAAAGGACACTACAGCAGAGAAATGGACCAAATGGTGATTTTTTTGCCTCAATTTTCCACGTGGAAAAGGAGGCTGTGCTCTGAGCAGTCTTTGGTGGGCTGAGGAGCTCCTGGCAGCCTGAGCTTTGAGGCAGTGATCTCATCCCTTTCAGGCTGAAGACCTCCCCTGTCCCTGTAGGCTGGTGGCATTTTGGGCCCCTGGTGCAGCTGGTACTCCCCCTCCTGCATGAGCCCTGTCAGCACTCAGAGTGATCTGACAGAGCAGGGAGCAAGGAGAGGGATTGGGAAGCTGCAGCGTGGAGGGGCCCTTTGGGTAAGGGAGCAGTGCAATGTGTCCATGCAGATTTCTGCCCAGTGTGTCTCTGTGCTGGGAACTCCACAGCAGCAAACTCTGTGGGAAAGGCAGGGCTGGAGGGATCTGCTGGCCCAGGAGAGAAGGAAAGCAGTTCTGAGTGTGAGGGGAGCAGGACACTGCCAGCACATCCCTGAAATCCCCACAGGCTGCATCCCTGCCCCTTGTTCCTGTTGGGCCCTTTGGTGTCACCCCAGCCCAAGCCCTCCTCTCCTGCCCAGGGTCCCCCTCCCTAGCCTGAGTCCCCTCCCAGGGGCGGTGAGGAAGGGGCTGCTCAGCCCCTGGGGTGGAGCTGGGGGAGTACAAAGCTCTGATTTAATCCCAGTTGTTCCCTGCAGTGGCTGCAGAGCAGGAACAGCAGCAGGTGGCAGCTGGAGGGATGGTCACTGCTCCTCACCCCAGTCCAGCCCAGTCTGGCTGTTGACCTTGTGGATCGCAGGGTGCACACCTGATCCAAAGGCAGTTTGAAAGGAACAGCACTCTTATCTGTTCAGCTTTTGAGTTTGAGCTCATGGATGTTCTTTGGATGAACATGAGGCATGATGAGAGCTTGACTCTGGGAAGCACCTTCAGCACAGAGCCAAGAGGGGCTGCATCCCCCATCCAGGGCTCCCACAGGGCTGTGGGTGATGCCCCTCCTGCTCTCATTAAAGGCACATTGTGAGGGGAATCTTCAGTCACTTCCGTGTGCCACAGCTTCAGCTCCACAGCTGATGGTGAGAGTCAGAGCTCTCTGCAGGACAGATGGGCAGGGAGCTCTGGACTGTGTTGCACTGCACTGAATAGCCTAAATTTGTCAAAAAAGTAAGAAAATAAATTAGAAAAAGTTCAAATTAGCGACGTGGAGCTGGGGAAGCTCTGAGGAGCAGCTGAGGGCACTCGGCTCGTTCAGCTGGAGCAGAGGAGACTGAGGGGAGACTCCT